GTGGGTGGAAAACATGAACAGAAATGTGTTCTGATTGATGGCAATTGCGTTTGGTACAATCTGTGATTTCAGGCATCCACTGAGGGTCCTGGAATGTATCTCCTGTGGAAGAGGCAGGGGTGGGGTGGGGGGACTACTGTGTTGGTTTTTTGCTAAGCAGAAAATTTTGATTTTTATATGGTCATATTTTTTGATCTTTGCTGTTTGGTTTCTGGAATTTGTGTCATAGTTAGAAAGATCTTCCTTACCTTCCAAAAAAAATCCTTACTACAGTTTATTCTAATATTTTATAGTTTTCATTTTTATATGTAAATCTTTGATTTACTTCAAATTTATCTTAATATAAAATATAAGGTCATTTTTTTTCCCAGATGGCTATCCAGTTGTCTCAATACTATCAATAGATTTAATATTCTGACTTTATTAAATTCCTATACACAATTAGGACTATTTCTGAACCTCCTACTTTTTTTATTGATCTGTTTATTTGTGCACTATTTTAATATCTGGTACAGCTAATTCCCCCTTGTTGGTATAGGAATTTCTTAAGCTGGGGTCCGTGTATGGAGTTTGTGGGAGATAAGTCTAAGAATCCAGTGACATTATATTTATAATTTTGGTTGTACATATACATATGATCTTTTCTGGGGAGAAAGCTATAGATTTAATTAGATTCTCAAAGCGGGGGTGCATGACTCAAAAAATGTTAAACCACAGATCTTAGAGGAGTGTGAGCCTTATATCTTTAGGCAGACCTTTGGGAATATTATGTTTTGTAATCAAATTTCCTTATGAACTGTGGATATAAGTAATTGCTTATACATACACAATAATATTTGGAAGATGCATGAGAAGTTGATGATGACACTGGTTTCAGGAGATGAGAACTGGTGGATGAGGAACAGAGATGGGGGGAAACTTCATTATTTTACCCTTTTATATCTTTTGAATTTTGAACCATATGATGATATTACTTTTTCTAAAAAGTGAATAACATTTTTAAGATTAAGGCGACCAAATGGATGGCTCTTCAATATCGTCTCAAGAATGAGCTTTGGGGAAAGGGATTAGTTCTTGGTTATTAACTACTAGCTTTTTTATATTACCAGACATAATGCTAGAGTTCTTTGCCAGGTTACCTTTTAAACCACTGCCAATTACATCACCTCTGAGTCTGTTTTTTTTTTTTTTTTAAAGATGACCGGTAAGGGGATCTCAACCCTTGTCTTGGTGTCAGA